ATCTCCCTTTTCCATGATGTCCATTCCCATGATCTCCCTTTTCAATGACATCCCTCTCTCATACCCATGATCTCCTTTTCCCATCAACTCCCTTTCCCATTATCTCCCTTTCCAACGACCTCCCTCTCTAATTCCTATGATGTCCATGTCCAATGACCTATATCTTTAATTCCTATGATCCCCATTATAAATGACCTCCCTATAGAATTCCCATGATCTCCCTTTCCAATGATTTCCCTTTCCCATGATGTCACTTATCAATGACCTCCCTCTCTTATTCCTATGATCTCCCTTTTCCATTATCTTCCTTTCCCATCACCTCCACCTCTCATTCCCTTGATGTCCCTTTCCAATGACCTCCCTCTCTCATTCCTATGATCTCCCTTTCCCATGATGTCCCTTTCCAATGACCTCCCTATCTAATTCCCATTATCTCCCTTTCCCATGATCTCCTTATCCCATTATCTATCTTTCCGATGGCCTCCCTCTCTAATTCTATGATCCCCCTTTTCCCATGACGTCCCTTTCCAATGACCTCCCTCTCTCATTCCTATGATCTCCCTTTCCCATGATGTCCCTTTCCAATGACCTCCCTATCTAATTCCCATTATCTCCCTTTCCCATGATCTCCTTATCCCATTATCTTCCTTTCCCATCACCTCCACCTCTCATTGCCTTGATGTCCCTTTCCAATGACCTCCTTCTCTCATTCCTATGATCTCCCTTTCCCATGATGTCCCTTTCCAATGACCTCCCTATCTAATTCCCATTATCTCCCTTTCCCATGATCTCCTTATCCCATTATCTTCCTTTTCGATGGCCTCCCTCTCTAATTCCATGATCCACCTTTTCCCATGATGTCCCTTTCCAATGACCTCCCTCTCTCATTCCTATGATCTCACTTTCCCTGATGTCCCTTTCCAATGACACCCCTCTCTCATTCCCATGATCTCCATTTTTCCATGATGTCCCTCTCCAATGACCTCCCTCTCTAATTCCTATGATCTCCCTTTCCCATGATGTCCCTTTCCAATGACCTCCCTCTCAAATGCTCATGATGTCTCTTCCCAATGACCTCCCTCTCTAATTCCAATGATCTCCCCTTCCCTGATGCCCCTTTCCCATGACCTCCCTTTTTAATTCCAATGATCTCCCTTTCCCATGACCTCCTCTCTAATTCCAATGATCTTCCTTTCCCATGATCTCCCTTTCCAATGACCTCCCTCTCTAATTCCTATGATCCCCCTTTGCCTGATGTCAATTTTCAATGACCTCCTCTCTAATTCCAATGATCTCCCTTTCCCATGATCTCCCTTTTCCATAATGTCTCTTTCCAGAGGCCTCCCTCTCTAATTCCAATGATCTCCCTTTCCCATGATGTCCCTTTCCAATGACATCCCTCTCTAATTCCTATGATCCCCCTTTTCCCTGATGTCCCTTTCCCATGACCTCCATCTCTCATTCCTATGATCTCCCTTTCCCATGATGTCCCTTTCCAATGACCTCCCTATCTAATTCCCATTATCTCCCTTTCCCATGATCTCCCTTTTCCATAATGACCCTTTCCAGTGGACTCCCTCTTTAACCCATAATCTCCCCGTCCAATGACATCCCTCTCTAATTCCTATGATCCCCCTTTTCCCTGATGTCCCTTTCCCATGACCTCCATCTCTAATTCCAATGATCTTCCTTTCACATGATCTCCCTTTCCAATGACCTCCCTCTCTAATTCCTATGATCCCCCTTTGCCTGATGTCAATTTTCCATGACCTCCCTCTCTAATTCCAATGATCTCGCTTTCCCATGATGTTCCTTTCCAATGACCTCCCTATCAAATTCCCATGATGTCGCTTCCCAATGACCTTCCTCTCTAATCTCCCGTTTTCCTATGATCTCCCATTCCCCTGATGTCCTTTCCCCTTTCCCATGACCTCCCTCTCTAATTCCATGATCCATCCTCCCCTTTCCCATGTCACCTCCTCTCTAATTCCAATGATCTCCCTTTCCCATGATCTCCCTTTTCCATAATGTCTCTTTCCAGTGGCCTCCCTCTCTAATTCCAATGATCTCCCTTTCCCATGATGTCCCTTTCCAATGACCTCTGTCTCTAATTCCTATGATGTCCCTTTTCCATGATGTCCCTTTCCCATGACCTCCCTCTCTAATTCCTATGATCTCCCTTTCCCATGATGTCCCTTTTGAATTACCTCCCTCTCTAATTCCTATGATCTCCCTTTTTCATGACCACCTCGCTAATTCCTATGATGTCCACTAATCCAATGATCTTCCTTTGTGTCCTTTCCAATGATGTCCCTTTCCCTCCATTGAATTCCCATGATCCCAATTACCTCCCTCTTCCTATTTCCCATGACCCCTCTCCTCCCTTTTCAATGATGTCCTTTCCAGCCTCCTTCTATAATTCCATTCCTATAAGTTCCTGGTCTCCTCCCTTTCCCTGATGTCCCTTTCCATGATATCCCTTTCCAATGACCTCCTCTCTAATTCCTATGATGTCCTTTCCAATGACCTCCCTCCTGATGTCCCTTTCCAATGACCTCCATCTCTAATTCCAATGATCTCTAATTCCCATGATGTCCTTTCCAATGACCTCCCTCTCTAATTCCAAATGATCTCCCTTTCCCATGATGTCCCTTTCCAATGACCTCCCTCTCTAATTCCCATGATCTCCTTTCCCATGACCTCCCTCTCTAATTCCTATGATCTCCCTTTCCCATGATGTCCCTTTCCCATGACCTCCTCTCCATAATTCCTTTCCAATGACCTCCCTGATCTCCCTTTCTTCCCCATGATGTCCCTTCCCATGACCTCCTCTTTCTAATTCCATGATCCCATTTTTCCCTTTTGACCTCCTCCAATCTGATCTCCCTTTTCATGACCTCCTCTCTAATTCCATGACCTCCTCCCTTTCCCATGATCTTCCTTTCCCATGACCTGTCCCTTCTTTATCCTCTCCCCTTTCCCATCCCTCCTTTCCAATGACCTCCCTTCTAATTCCTCATGATCTCCTTTTCATGATCTCCCTCTCTAATTCAATGATCTCCTTTTCATCATGATGTCCCTTTCAATGACCTCCCTCTCCTCTCGCCTCCAGTGATTCCCTTTTGATCTCTCCTTTCCCATTTTCCTTTCTCCAATGATCTCCCTCTCTAATTCCCATGATCTCCCTTTTCCATGATGTCCCTTTCCAATGACCTCCTCTCTAATTCCCATGATCTCCCTTTCCCATGACCTCCTCTTTAATTCCTATGATCTCCCTTTCCCATGATCTCCCTTTTTCCCATGATGTCCCTTTCCAATGGCCTGATCTCTAATTCCCATGATCTCCCTTGTCCAATGACCTCCCTCTAATTCCTATGATCTCCTATCCATGATCTCCCTTTCCCATGATGTCCCTTTCCCATGACCTCCTCCTTCTCTAATCTATCCAATGATCTCCCTCTCTAATTCCACATGATCTCCCTTTTCCATGATGTCCTTTCCCATGACCTCTCCCTCTCCAATCCCTCAATGATCTCCCTTTTTTCCCATGATGTCCCTTTCAATGACCTCCCTCTCTAATTCCTATGATCTCCCTTTCCCATTGTCCATGACCTCCCTCTCTAATTCTAATGATCTTCCTTTTCATGATCCTCCCTTTCTAATTCCATGATACCTCCCTCTCTCTCTCTAATTCCCATGATGTCCCTTTCATATGACCTCCTCTCTAACCTCCCATGATCTCCCTTTCCCATGACCTCCTCTCTAATTCCATGATCTCTAATTTCCATGATCTCCTTTCCCATGACCTCCCTCTCTAATTCCCATGATCTCCCCTTTCCAAGTGACCTCCTCTCTAATTCCTATGATCTCCTTTCCCATGACCTCCTTTCCCATGATGTCCCTTTCCCATGTCCTCCCTTCTCTAATTCAATGATCTCCCTTTCTAATGACCTCCTCTCTCATTTCCCTGATGTCCCTTTCCCATGACCTCCATCTCTAATTCCAATGATCTCCCTTTCCCGTGATGTCCCTTTCCAGAGACCTCCCTCTCTAATTCCTATGATCTCCCTTTTCCATGATGTCCCTTTCCAATGACCTCCCTCTCTAATTCCTATGATCTCCCTTTCCCACGATGTCCCTTTCGAATAACCTCCCTCTCTAATTCCCATGATCTCCCTGTTTCATGACCTCCTCTCTAATTCCTATGATGTCCCTTTCATATGATGTCCCTTTCCAATGATCTCCCCTCTCATGTCCCCATGGCCTCCCTCTCCCTTTTCCATGATGTCCCTTTCCAGTGACCTCCCTCTCTAATTCCCATGATGTCCCTTTTAAGTGACCCCCTCTCTAATTCCCATGATGTCCCTTTCAAATGACCTCCCTCTCTACCTCCCATGATTTCCCTTTTAAGTGACCTCCCTCTCTAATTCCCATGATCTCCCTCTCCCGTCACCTCCCTCTCTAATCGCATGATCTCCATTTCCCACGATTTCCCTTTCCAATTATCTCCCCTTCACATGGCCTCCCTCTCTAATTCCCATGATCTCCCTATCCCAATACCTCCCTCTCTAATTCCCATGATCTCCCTGTCCCATTACCTCCCTCTCTACTTCCCACGAGACTCGATTATTTACAGACCACCGCCATATAGCTGGAATATTGCTGAGTGCGGCGTAAAACTAAACTCACTCACCCGTTCTCCCTTCACTTGCGTTCTTTCCTTTCCCATTGTCTTTTATTCCAACATTCTCCTTTTTCTTCCCCTTTAACGCGTTTTCCCTCTGATGTTCATTCGTCGCCTGTTTTCTCGCCATTCCCTCGTAAAGACATCCAAGTATACATGTATCCCAAACCGGTAATTGTTGTTCATAATAGCTATCACATCACTGTCTGCTTTGGACGTGTATATTTACACCTGTCATGAAACGATAATATGACGATTGCCAGCGTTCACGGAAATATCAATCTATCATTATTTCATCGAGATTTCATCGTTTTAGTATCTCGAGAAACGGTTCAACTCCCGCGCTGCCAGGCTGACAGGGACCAGCATGATGATTGTCAGTCAAGTAGGTACTGTAAACAACATGGTGATTGTCAAACAAGAAGGTAGTGTAAACAGCATTATGACTGTCAAACAAGTAGGTATTGTAAACAGCATGATGGATTGTTAGCAAGTAGGTACTTTGTACAACATGACGATTGTCCAACAAGTAGGTACTGTAAACAACATGATCATTGTAAGCAAGTAGGTACTGTGAACAACATGATGATTGTCAGCAAGTAGGTACTGTAAACAGCATCATGATTGTCAGCAAGTAGGTACTTTACACAACATAACGATTGTCAGCATGTAGGTAGTGCAAACAGCATGATGATCGTCAGCAAGTAGGTAATGTAAACAGCATCATGATTTTCAGCAAATAGGTAGTGTAAACAGCATCATGATTCTCAAACAAGTACTTGCTGTAAACAGCATGGTGATTGTCAAACAAGAAAGTAGTGTAAACAGCTTTATGACTGTAAAACAAGTAGGTACTGTAAAAAGCATGATGATTGTCAAACAAGTAGGTACTGTAAAAGCATGATGATTGTCAGCAAGTAGGTAGTGTAAACAGCATGATGATTGTCAGCAAGTAGGTAGTGTAAACAGCATGATCATTGTCAGCAAGTAGGTACTGTAAACAACATGACAATCAACCGGAAGAATCGGAAGACACGGAAATTTGAAATAAGTTTTTATGATTGTATGCGTTTAGTGAACGGGTTAATTTAACAAAAGTATTTTAGTCAATCAAATTCATGTCATTGTTTCTGAGATCTGGTAAATATAGAGTTCAGGGTTTGAGACCACTTACCTAATTGTTGCCTGTCAGGTGACTTGGCTTTATGTACGCTGTACTTGTAGGCCCGTGGCTGTGTGTACGCTGTACCTGTAGACACGTGGCTGTGTGTACGCTGTACTTGTAAACACGTGGCTGTGTGTACGCTGTACTTGTAGACACGTGGCTGTGTGTACGCTGTACTTGTAAACACGTGGCTGTGTGTACGCTGTACTTGTAGACGCGTGGCTGTGTGTACATTGTACTTGTAGACACGTGGCTGTAAGTACGCTGTACTTGTAAACACGTTGCTGTGTGTACGCTGTACTTGTAGACACGTGGCTGTGTGTACGCTGTACTTGTAAACACGTGGCTGTATGTACGCTGTACTTGTAGACACGTGACTCTATGTACGTTGCACTTGTTGATACGTGGTTGTGTGTACGCTGTACTTGTAGACACGTGACTGTGTGTACGTTGTACTTGTAAACACGTGGCTCTGCGTACGTTGTACTTGTAGACGCGTGGCTGTGTGTACGTTGTCGTTGCAGACACGTGGATCTATGTACGCTGTACCTGTAGAACCGTTGTTGTATGTACGTTGTACTTGTAGACACGTGGCTCTATGTGCGCTTTACTCGTAGATACGACTGGCTCTGTGTACGTTTTACTTGTAGAGACGTGGCTGTATGTACGTTCTACTTGTAGACATATGGCTTTATGGACCATGTACTTGAAGACACGTGGTTGTTTGAACGTTGTTCTTGTAGACACGTGGCTGTAGGTACGTTTTACTTGTGGACATGTGGCTCTATGGACGTTGTACTTGTAGACACGTGACGGCATGTACGTTGAACTTGTTGACACGAGTCTCTGTGTACGTTGTACTAATATATATGTTTTATCCCAGGTGATCTATATGGGCCTGGTGTCACTTGCTCCATCGACGGCTCTAGAAGCAGGTAGGTTT